CTTCATCGCTAAGGAGGTATTTGTCATTTCTCGATTAGTGTCGCGGCCGCAGCTTCAAGAGTCAAGTCGACTGATTTTGGTCAGGCATGGCACGCTTCGTTCGCTGGCTAATTTTGGCAAGTGTTGCAGCTCTAACACTGTCCGACGTGGCATTGGGCCACTCGCAAATGCATTTGGGTAATGCGTTGCCTTCGCGCAAATTGTTCATTGAAAATGGTCGGCATCTGTTGAAGAATTGCATCAACTCTGAAGCTGGTCAAGTGCTGAAAGAGAGGGCTATAACTCGCCATCTAGCCATATTAAACGATGTCCACGCTGCTCGTCGTCTTGATGCCGCTACGGCTTTGTCAACTGACCATGAATCCAATCGCACTGGGCTCACATTCAACACGAGTTCGAATGAACTTTTCACGGGTGAACCGGCATGCCTGCTGGAACCCGAAGTCACTGAGGGCCCATACTACGTCGCTGGAGAGCTCATCCGTTCGGATATTCGCGAGAACCAACCGGGCATCGATCTGTACATGGACTTACAGTTCATCGACGTCAACACCTGCTCACCCGTGAACGACTTGTACGTTGATTTCTGGCATGCCAATGCCAGTGGCGTATACTCCGGGGTCGTTGCAAGGACGAACGGGAACTCGAACGATGCCTCGAACATCGGTACTACCTTTCATCGCGGTATATCGCCTACTGACTCCGATGGATTTGTCTCCTTCACTACCAAGTTCCCTGGACTGTACGCAGGTCGTACTACGCACATCCATATCATGACACACTCAGGGGGTACCGTGCTGGCCAACGGAACGTACTCCGGCGGGCGAATATCCCACGTTGGTCAGCTTTTCTTTGATCAGTCTTTAATTACAGAAGTGCAGGCTACTGGAGTATACGCGGATAACTCCAATCGAGTGACTACGAATGAAGACGATTCGATCGCTCTACAGTCCGCGGACGATGATTTTGACCCGTTCGTTCGGTACGTTAAACTTGGTAGCAGTATTGAAGATGGCCTGCTATCGTGGATTTCCGTGGGCGTGGATATGACAAACGACAATAGTGTATCGGCGGCTGGCACGTACACTGGGAGCAGTGGCGGGACTACGACCGATGCAGGTACGACAAGTAACACTGGATCGACTTCTGCAATTGAATCGACTGACGTATCTTCGGCTTCTGCTGATGCAGAGAATGACGCTAGCAAGATGAAGGAGTTCGGTGGCATATTAGGTGTCACACTCATACTATTACATCTGCTGCAGGTGTAGACTCGAGATGCTATAAGGTTAGCTCATTGACAATGTTAACATGTAGGCTACCAATTGTGATTTACATGTAGCATTCAATCAAAAACTTCAAATATAATAAAAAAAAAACACGACGGTCGCGTTTGCCGATGCTAACGAAACGAAAGCCCTGAATTGCCTACTTGAGATATAACACTAACACATTAGACACTTTATAGAATACGAGCGCTGGCTATGATTTTGCGTATTTTCATTGGGCGACCTGCACCGATTCCGTGGTTGCGCTGTGCATTCACAACGATAAATAGTGCTAGTAGCTTCTTGGATTTTGGATTTGAGATCATGTACCCCAACTCAGGTACAGTACACAGGATACGTTTTATTTACCCCGTGACTTGCATGCTACTGGGGCGCACGCTACATCGTCTTCACCTCCGCACCATGTCGCCCGCTTCCACTCTCTGGCACGCCGATTCGTCCGCCGCTCGCCACTCCAGCGTCACTCTCTTCAACGAGTTCCTTCGCTCCACGCGTTCAGCTTTGACGCAGTCGCCCTCCTCGGTGCATGTGTTCATGGGAAACGAGGCCGCCGACGCCGACTCCATCGTCAGTTCACTGAGCTACGCCTTTGTGCACTACCAGCAGCACTCAGATACGCTACATGTGCCAGTGATGCCGATCCCCCGGTCTGAATTAGTGCTACGTTGTGACGTTACTGCATTGTTCCAGGAATTGGGCGTGGATACACACGCTCTTGTGTTCGTGGACGAGTTCCCCTGGGGAATAAAGAGCAGAGTGAAGGTCACACTCATGGACCATAACGCACTTAGTAATAAGAAGATACCACAGGTTAACGGGCTCCAAGTGGTAGAGATCGTGGACCATCACTCGGATCTGGGCCAGCACTTGGACGCCGAGAAGAGAGAAGTAGCTTTTGCTGATGGTAACGCACTGGTGGCATCAACGTGTACGCTGGTTGCCGAGAGGCTGAAGGAAGTTGCGACTCATGAAGCGCATAAACTACTATCGACTATGCTACTGGGAGTGATCGCTCTGGACAGCATCAACTTCGACCCGAATGCGAAGAAGGTGACGCCGAGAGACGTCAAGGCGGCGGAGAAGCTGGAGGAGATGGCGTTTGCGAAGAAAGAACCACTGTTTAAATGGCTACAGGCAGAGAAATTTAACCCCGCACATTGGGGAGCATTTACGCTCGAGAATTGTCTACAGGTGGACTACAAGGAGTTTACGTTCACGACTGCAACTGGTGCCTCGAAGGTCGTCGGTATCAGTGCCGTGCTGATTGACTTGGAAGCTTTTGTGCTTAAGACTAAAGATGCCACTGCACTGCGTAAAGGAATGACTGACTACTGTAGGCAGAATACGCTGTCGTTCCTGGTGGTGATGACGATGTTCATGACGTCCGACAACCAGCGCCACCGCCAGTTGCTCTTCTTTCAAGAAGACGGAGATGATGCCAAGCAGTGCATTGAGTATATCAAGACGGAAGGTTCACTGCAAGTG